AGGCTGGAGCAAGGAATCCATACCCGGAACTGGGGCCAAACAATGGTGGGAATGAAGGTTACTGGACAGGACGTAAATAGTGTAAGCCTTGACAATGTGAAAACGTGAACTCATAAAATGTGGGAGGGGAAGGAGTTAGGAAATGACAATGATCTCATTTCCTCACCCTAAACCCCAGGTTGTGGGGAGATGCCATCTGCAGTCCCAACCTGTGTGCAGAAGGAAGACTCTAGCCACTTAGTTTTTCTTTAGAAAAGTACTTTAGAAACATAAGTATTGTAACTTTGTGGCTTGGCAACTTTTCTCAGTTACATTTAGATTTCCTTTTGTTCTGTTAAATTTAAATACCTTTTCTAAAAAGCACGTTACTGTACGAGCCCATCTTCCTACCTGCTTGTACTTTTGTCTGAATATCTGGGGTATGGATGTCTGGGTGTCCTCTATGATTATTTCTGGGTGCTGTGTTTCCAGACCACTTGGAAACCTTGCTTTTGGTACTGTTTATTGCTGTTTGCATTTATTATAATAAATGTGCACTATTTTTTAAAAAGCAAAGCTTTTTTCTTCCTCACAGTGCTGGGGATCAAATCCAGGGTCTCACATGTCAGGTAAGTGCTATATATCATTGAGCTCCATCCCCAGGCCAATAAAACCTTTAAAAAAATATTATTGTCTTTTTGAGACAGGGTCTCCCTGTAGCCCCAGCTGGCCTGGAACTCGCTATGTAGAGCAAGCAGGTGGGCCTTGATCTCACAGAGATCTGCCTGCCTCTGTCTCCCAAGAGCTGGGATTAAATGTGTGTCCCACCATGTTGGCTTAAAAATTATTTTTATTTCATGTGTCAGTGCCTGTGTGTATGTACATGCACATGAGGCCAGGAGAGGGCATTGGATCCCTTGGAACTGGAGTTACAGAAAGTGATCTGCCATCTGCATGCTGGGAACTAAACCTGGGTCTTCTTCAAGAACATCAAATGCCCTTAATCTCTAAGTCATCTCTCCAATCCCTTAGTCAAGTTTTTTAAATGCTTCTTTTTGTACATAAAAAATTATTTTTATGTGTATTTTGCCTGCATGTATATAAGTGCACCATGTGTGTGCAATGCCTGAGGAGGTCAGAGGAAGGCATAGGATCCCCTGGAGCTGGAGTTACAGATGGTTGTTAGCTGCCATGTGGGAACCAAACCAGGGTCTTTTGGAAGAGCAGAAAGTGCTCTTAACCACTGAGCCATCTCTATAGCCTCCCCCGCCCCTTTTTTAAAAAACATTTGTGTGTGTGTGTGCATATGTGCACGCATGCACACACGCGCATGCGTGCAGTCAAAGGCTAACCTTCAGAAGTTTGTTTTTTCCTTCCACCATATGGATTCTGGGGATTGAACTGAGGTAGTGAGGTTTGCTCATAAAGCAACCTTTACCTGCTGAGCCATTTTGCTGGTACAGTAAATCCTTTTAAAAATGAAGATACATCTCAGGAAAACAGAAAAAAAAATTTTCCTTTGCCAGGGCCCTGTCTCACTAGTGCAGATGGCCATGCTCAATGAGGCAGCAGAGCAGAGACTGAGCCTGTTCCACAGGATTGTTCTGGAGGCAGCTCAGAGCCTTCCCCTGCAGAGGGGGACAATTCACTCTGCGGTGGGAACTTGTGGGTCGACCCTTCAGGATGTACTTGCCTTTTCTTTTCATATATATATAATTTGTGCTGGGGTGTTTGTTTGTTGTTTTGTCTATTTCACACAAACTAGAGCTACTTGGGAAGAAGGAACCTCAGTTGAGGATTTCCATCAGATTGGCCTGTGAGGGGGTTTGTGGGTCATTTTCCTGATAGCTACTTGATATAGGAGGGCCCAGCCCACTGTGGGTGATGCCATCCTGGTCAGGTGGGCCTGGGCTGTATAAGTAGCTGAGCAAGCCAGGGGAACAAGCAATAAGCAGTGTTCCTCTGTGGTCTCTGCTTCAGTTCTTGTGTCCAGTTTCCTGCTTTGAGTTCCTACTTTATTATGGACTGAACTGTAAGCCAAATGAACCCTTTCCTCCCTGTGTTGTTTTTGGCCAGAGTGTTTTATCACAGTAATAGAAAGCAAACTAACAATATTTTTCCTGAGATAGGGTCTCATGTAGCGAGGTTGGCCTCAATTTTGTTATGTAGTGGGGGTTGACTTTGAACTTCTGATCCTCCTGCTCCACATCCTAAATGCTGGGATTATATGTGTGTGTCAGTCTGCCCACCTTCAGGATGCATTTTCAAGCTTTCGCAATACAGCACTATGACATGTAGGAAGGCTTTAGAGTCAGGGTTTCCTGGGGCCAGGGCCTGTGCCCCCACTGCTCAGCTGGGTGACTGAGCCTCTCTATAAAGCCATCCTTGCCCTGCATTACTTTCAGGTTGCTGGAAGGGTCATATGACATGCAGTGTCCAAGAGTCTGCAGTGGTCACTAAGGATACTGATGAGCTTCTGTCATCATTTAGATTCAGTCCTCACCAACACCACTGCTCCAATGACCCAGGGGATCCAGTGGCTCTTCTGATTGTTTCCTGGTTCTGAGAGCCACTCTTACAGTCTCAGCTCCATCTAGTGTCCACATAGGACACTGCCACTTTGAAGGCCCCTATTGCAAACCTCAATCTCCATAGCTACATACAGAACCACAATAAGGTCTACTTAAAGCATTCCTCCAGTGCTAATATTTGATATTTTGAGCCAAGTGTTGTACAAATCCAGTATTCCTAAGGATTGGTGTATACTGTCTTTGAAAGGATAACAGATTCATGCAACAAATAGTTTATTAAAACAACCAACATTGACTGTGGGCTTTGGTGCTGTGCACCATTTTAAGGGTTTGAATTGTGTAAGCTCATTTAACACTCCCAGTCATGAAAAGGGGCGTTTGTTTTGGAGGTACACTCTGTAGGGAAGTGGCCCCTGTCAAGATGCTCATGCTCCAGTGGCTGGCTGTACACTCACGCACATAAGGACAACACTGAAGGACAACACTGACTGGACTCAGGGGCTATGGAAAGAGAACATGAAGTTGGGAGGATGTGGTGGGGGGTCTAAGACTTGGAAGGGGAATGGGGGAGTTTATAGTCAAAGTACATTGTATTCATATATGAACTTCTCAAAAGAATGAAAAATATGGAAAATTTGTCACAGCTGAGTGAAGGCAGAGGCTGCCTGTGAGGCAGGAGATGAGGAAGGAGCCAGGGGAGGTGGTCTGAGTGTCCCACTGGGCTCAGGCTGGATATGGAGTGCAGAGAGAATGGCTGCTCTGCAGCTACAGCATCTGGGAGGAGGCTGTGACCACAGGGGGCAAGCACCGTATGCACAGTTGGGAGGTACTGATTGGAGCACTCATGGCATGCCAGCCAGTGGGGATGTGGAATTCAAGTAAACAGCCATGGTCCCTGTTCTCAAAGACTCAGAACCCTGAGGGGAAGGTGGGTATGGAAGAGAGATTTAAAAAATTTATTTTTACTTTATGAGTGTTTTGCCTGCATGCAAGTGTATCCACATTGTGCAATGCCTGCAGAGGCCAGGTGTCAGATCCCCTGGAACTAGAATTATGGATGGCGTTAGCTCACCATGTGGGTGCTAGGAACTGAACCCGGGTCCTCTGCAAGAGCAGCCAATGCTCTTAATCACTCAGCCATCTCTCCAGATCTAGGAGGGAGTTTTATAAAGGCCAAGCAGAAGGTGGGTAGGGAGGTGTGTGGATGAGTCTGAGCTGACAGGCTGAAAACAGAGGATTGAAGGTGAGAGATTATAAGCTCAGAGGAACTGGCTCAGGTGGTCTGGGAACAGTGGTGAGGACATGAACCCAGGTGTGGAACAAGAAAAAATTCCTGGGGCCAGAGAGGATTGGAAAAGGGTGTGGCCCCAAGAGAGGACTTCAGTGTCAGGGAAGGGGCAGAATAGGGACTGACATGGGGCAGGACCTGGATAGGGCCAGAAGGGTTCAGAGTGCATAGGCAGAGGGAGTTTGCAGACAGGGTGACAGTTTGCAATGGTGGCGAGCTCATGCTTTGGGAAAGGAAGGAGACAGCATGGTCTGAGAAGCCGCCAGGCTTAAGGAAAGATTGGTTGCTTTTTTCTGTTTTAGGGAGGAGGCTGAGATAGAGGACCTAGGGGAAGGGCAGGCAGTTCTTAGAGGAAGAGCAGATTAATGGCACATGAAAAATGAGGTGCCCTGGGTGAGGGCACAGGAGGGGAAGGAGATATTGTGGGGATAGATTCAGACAAGTTTAGGGGACGAGGGGATGAAACAGGGAGTAGGAAGGGCAGCAAAGAGCTGGTCCTCACTGCTTCAGATGGCTGGATGAGCAAGTCTACCGAGGGCCTCAAGGTGAGCAGAGGACTGGGTTAGTGGTCAGAGCTGGCATGTTAGGGTTCTTCTGCAGGGAAAAGCTCAGCTGTGGAGAGTCAGGAGTGTCCTGTGGGAATTGTGGAGGCTACTAACCCTGAGGACCAGGCAGGGAAACCGGAGAGGTCAGGCATGCTGAGAAAAGTAGAATTCACATTGGTTTCAAGAACAGGGTATGTGTGGACCAGAGCAGAGATGGGAGGCTCTGGAAGGAAGGGTCAGAGGTGGGGTTTCTAAGATTTTAGGAGTCACTCCTGGTACAATCTCAAGGTGTGGCTGAGGGAGCATGCCTCTGAAGGAAAGGAGACTATGCTAGAAGGCAGCATAGAGAAAGGCAGGAAACACTGGGAGGAGGGGTCCAGGCTGGTCCAGGCCAGAGTAGCTCAGGGAAAGGGGTGGGGCCTACTGTGGTGGCAGAAGACTGAGTCATCTCCAGAGTGCCCTGACCTTGTTACCCAGTTTCAAAGGGTCAGTGTGCCTTACATTTGTAACAAGAAAGCTGGACAGTAAGATGGTGCAGGACCCAGACAGCAAAGGGCCAGAAAACATTAACTGCTGCCAAACAGGCAGATGGTGAGAAGCGTCCCACCAGTCCATGGTACCCAAGTGCATTGAAAACACCCAAGAAAAACACCAAGAGCAGATACAACCAGACTGTGCTGCTTTTAATTATGAAATATGTAAAATGCATTATAAAACTTGGAAGCTACTTTGTACAAAGTCCAATCTTTAAATATTGTTTAACAAAAGGCCTGGGAGTTAGGACACTGGCAGGAAGTCTGATTAGTTGCTGGGATGGTCCCATCTGTGAAGCAGTGGAAATGCTGGGAACCATCTATGCATAAATCAGAAGAGCCAAGGAGAGTCTGAACAGGAAATGTCTTGAGATATGCTCATGGGCATGATTACACAACCTTTAGATAATATACAGTAGACTTAGGAGAAAGGAAGTGGGGTAAAGGGGAATTGATGGTGATCTTGTCACGATCAAAACATTTTCTCCTCACACCGTATGTCCTAAAACCCACAACCACACAGGAAGAAGGAACGGAAATGCGTGCTGCTAAACTGCTAGTAAATGAGTACCGCTGACGTGACAAAGGTGAATATTGAAAAGTAGCTTTTTGGAAGTCTGTAGCCACTTCCAATGCTGAGGCCTAGGACAGGTTTGTCACAAAGGCAGCAATGAGTGCAGGTGTACATACTGAGGGGCAGGGTGACAGTCCTTGGGTGTTCTCAACATCATCTAGGTAAGGTGGGCTGTCTAGTGACCCAAACCTTCTCACATTGAAAGAACAGGCTGATGGACCTAAGGCAGATTTAACTCAGTGCTACACCAGTTGTCCTCTTTATCAGCTTTCTGGCACTCCAATCACTGGAGAATGCCCCAGGGGCAGCGCAATGCATTGTATGGGTCTTGGGGTCTCCTGTTATAAGACAGACTGCTGTGGTACGTGAACAGGGTCCCTGACATAATGATCCCATGGATAAGGCACACTATATAAAGAATAGATGATCCTGGAACCTTCTTGCTTCAAAAACAACTTTGAAAGGCTGAGATCCAATTTCAGGGGCCTCTGACATAGGAGCTGGCTTCTGTGGGCATGCTGGAGTGCTGGGAAGCATTACAAGAGAAAAACCCTTTTAGTTTAACAAAAGTCACGCCCTCTGAGATCTTAGGCATAAAGCATCTGAGAGTTTCACTGGGAATGAGGCTTGCAAGCAGAGGCCAGCGGCATTTTCCTGAGGTGGAAATCAGGCAAAGGGCTCTAGCTTGGTTTCCCAATTCAACAGAAGAGACTGAAGCAAACAGGTACACAGGAGTTCTTGGGCTTCAGAGGAAGGTGGAGTAAGGCACCATCGGGGTTGAGAGATCAGAAAGAAGGCCTGAGAAGACAGGTATGGGCACGTGGTAGATGGAAGGAGCCAGCATCCTGTCTTCAGGCTTTTCTTGCCATAGGCACAGCTGCCTTCTAGTGTAGCCTTGCTTTTCTGGGTCGGGGGTGATCCTCAGTGATACCACTGTGTCTCCAGGAAGGGCAGCAGCGTTCAAGCAGATTCTAGCATCTCAACTCCCCTTGTTCCCCTCCTGTGTCTGTGTGGCACCACTTTTCCCATTTAGGGCTAAGAGGCAGGTGGAAGTGGAAATCCAGTCAAATTATTTTATGATAAGGTGTTAATGAATAATGAATCAATTCCATGAATCAGCCCTTCATTTACCACAAACTAATTTCTCCACCTGTAAGTATGAACCTCTATTTTAAGCAATTTAGAGCAAAACATGGATCTGAGTGGGAAGATATTCTGATATGGGGACCTAGTCAGGATCCCGTGTGTCCCACACTTAGGGGGCTTGGATTCAGTCAGCAGAAAGTTCCTACCTAGCTGCTGAGGGACATATTCCCAAGGAGGACATCTGGTCATCTAGTGTTAAAGCAAATTCAAGTTCATGCTTAGCTCAAGCAAGGGCACCAGTGTGAGAATGCTAAAGCTCTGAGATTAGGCAGGGAACTGGCATGGCTACAGATTAGACTGCCTCACTGCACAGCAGAATTGTTCACTCATCCATGCCTGTATTCCATACCCAATTACACAGCAGCCAGGCACTTGCTAGGTCCTAGCGGTTCAATGAGGACTAAGGCATAGCTTCTGCCCTCTCAGAGCAGGTCTAGAGGGGTTCTATTAAACTCCTGATCACTGAGAAAGCACGCTGGGGAAGAACAGGGAAGTTAGGTTGCTATGTGCCTGACAGGACTTCTGGAAGCTCCCTGTGCTTGTCCTGAAGACATCTTATGCCTGTGACATATCTGTGGCCCCCTCTTTTCTCCCCTCTTAGAAGTCTCTTAGAAGCACTATCCTCTTTAGGCTCATCCAATTTCCAGGAGACTGTTTACAGTGACCAAATGAGAGTCTCCCTCTTCCTCCTGTACATAAGAAAAAGGTACACCGAAGCAACAAAGACATCACAAACTGAGAGAGAACAAGTGGGTCTTCCATTTGCCTAACTCAATCCTCCCTGGCACAGGCTGGTTAAACTTCATGCTTCAATTAAGGCACATGACAGAACTGTGGCTAAGCCCAGAATGTCCACCAGCTAGTGGGTGCCTTGCATTAGTGGTCAGACAGAAAGGCATCATGGTGCTCTGGTACCATTGTGTGACGCTGAGCTGAGTCCACAGGCCCATGGCCTCTGTCTACCACACCAGGTCCTGTCTTCAGTGTTGACTGAGATCAGTGGTTCTGAGCACTAAACAAAGCTATGGAGGCTTTCTGTTACACAGCATTTTCTATGTTTACACACTGGACTAGATGGCCAATAAGAAGAATGAAGGATGATCTGGTGAGCTTCCTGTTTATCAGAAGCTCCAAAGCAGCTGGCTTGCAGCAGTATACCTGGTGCCACAGCCTGAGAGGCAGGACATAGTTCTGTGTCTAGAAAAGGCACAGTATCTGACACAGGACTCAGCCAAGAGCCTGGGGCAGCAGGACTGGCTCCTTTCATGCTCATAACTAATGTCCAGGGCATCTGCTGGCTCTTCTCTCTGTTTCAGACATTTCAGAAGTTTTCCTGCTTGGCTGTGTTCTGCTCATAGTCGGTCAGCTCGAAACGTCTCCTCCACAGAGGAGTCCAGCAGACCCATGCTGGAGTCACTTAACATGCTGAGTCCATCCAGGCTCAAGGGTTCAATCTGGAGCTCCTCTTCCAATGGAAACGGAGTGTCCACGTTCAGGCTGACCTCTGGCATGCCTACCAGCCCACTGCTAAGGTCTTTGAACAGGTTGGTGCTTGAGTCTTCTGAAAGGATTGAGAGGGGAAACAGTGCTGATTAGAGGTGTAAGGATTTCAGACTTTTAAGAGTGACAGTCCTGAGCCAGGCATGGTGGCACACGCCTTTAATCCCAGCAGAGGCAGGCATATCTCTGAGTTCCAGGCCAGCCTGCTCTACATAGTAAGTTCTAGGTCAGCTAGGGCTACAGGGAGACCCTGTTTCAAAAAAGACCAGAAAAAAAAAAAAAAGAGTGACATTCCCCAACACACTACTGTGTCATCTTCTCAGTGAGCACCCACATACTGACTATTTCCAGGCCCAAAGCTCTTGCCCTTGGAATCACCTTTTTTTTTTCTTTTTCTTTTTTAAAGACAGGGACTTACACTAACTCTATATGTAGCTCATGTTGGCCTGGAACTCACTATGTAATCTAGGCTGGCCTCAAACTCAAGGCAATCCTCTTATCTCAGCTTCTCAAGTGCTGGGATTGTGGGTAAATACCACCATGCCCAGGCTAAACCTTTGAATTTTTGCAGTTTTTATTCTTTTGAATGGTTTTGAGTCACCAAAGACTAAGTATTTCAGAAATGTTTTGATCACAAGCCTTTATGCATTATGGTTTTTAGGGCTGAACACCTGCATCTCAAAAAGTTAGGCTAGTCAGAAGACTTTATATAATGCTATGTGATTTAAACTATCTTACAGCCAGGCGTGGTGGCACACACCTTTAATCCCAGCACTTGGGAGGCAGAGGCAGATCTCTGTGTTCAAGGCCTTTATGCATTATGGTTTTTAGGGCTGAACACCTGCATCTCAAAAAGTTAGGCTAGTCAGAAGACTTTATATAATGCTATGTGATTTAAACTATCTTACAGCCAGGCGTGGTGGCACACACCTTTAATCCCAGCACTTGGGAGGCAGAGGCAGATCTCTGTGAGTTCAAGGCCAGCCTGGTCGACATAGTGAGTTCCAGGACAGCTGGGGCTACAGGGAGACCCTGTCTCAAAAAGACCAAAAAACAAACAAACAAACAAAAAACCAAAAAAACTATCTTACAAAGGTAAAAACACTGCAAAATGAAACCAGTGTAGAAGCTGAGGAGTGGCCCACACTTACCTGTCAGGATGGTGTTTGGGAAGTTCCCACAGTTGGAATACAGGTTTGGTCTCAAATGAAATGACTCCTGTGGTTCTCGGTGACCTTGCTGCACCAGAGGCACCTGGAAGCATCAAAGTCATACTGTGGGCAAAGAGCTCTGCTTCTGAGGAGTACAGCTGCTCCCAGTTTATCCCACAGTTCCTTCTGTCTAGGATTCCAGTGGGTCTTCTGTGTGTTAACGCAGGTAGAATACTCCTTGGACTTGAGGTGGGTCCCTGGAGGACCACAATGCAGTGGCTTTTCCCTGCCCATACACTGCTACATGACCCCAAGAGACACTAGTGGTCAGTTTTAACAGTCCCTCTCTGGTCTCAGACTTCCCCATTCCTCAACCTCACCAAGGCCTCTGCAAACTACCACCTGTGGGAGTTCCTCAGCAGTTTCATCTGTGACTAAGCAGTGAACTCTCCTCTCTGGTTTCTGGAAGAGTGAGATAGTAAAAGCCTTTTCCTTTATACTTGGTCAGCGCCTCTCTGGGACAAAAATCTCTGAGGGCTAGTTATAACTGGGGCCTGTTTGGGGAAATCTTTCAAGAAATTAAATTTTAAAAGACTTATTCTTGAGCCGGGTGTGGTAGCGCATGCTGGTAGTCCCAGCAGTTGGGAGGCAGAGGCAGGCGGATCTCTGTGAGTTCAAGGCCAGCCTGGTCTACACAGTGAGTTCCAGGACAGCTGGGGCTATAGGGAGACCCTGCTTCAAAAAGACAAAAAAAAAACCAAACAAACAAAAAAAGAAACCTTATTCTTATTTTTATTTATATGTATTTGTGTGTCTGTGTGAATATATGTCACATGTGGGAGGGACAGAAGAGGGTGTTGGAGCCCCTGGAGCTAGAGTAATAGGCAGTTGTGACCCACCTGACATGGGTGCTGCCAACTAAACTGAGTCCTCTAGAAGAGCAGAAAGTGCCCTTAACTGCTGAGCCATCTCTCCAGTTCCCCCAAATTAATTTTTTAAAAGAAGACTCAAAAGAAAGAGCTTCCAAGTGTTCTGCTTCTCATCTAGACAGACAGGGCCCTTCATAAAACAGAGGGTGTAGCTCAGTGCTCGTGTTTGCCAAGCATATATGAAACCCTGGGTCTGATGCACAACAACGCAAAAAACAAAACAAGAGCAACAACAACAACAACGACAAAATCCAGAGGCAAGGACTACTGGTTCATGGCCTACTTAGGAAATAGCTATCTTTATTTGTTTTACTATTATTAAGTTCTGGAGATAGATCAAGCCTTCCTTTACTCTTTTTATCTATCTGGCGCCTGACCCATATTTACAAAACCTAGGGATATTAAAAATGGTCTCTGTTAGGGAAAAGCACAAAAGCAAAAGGATATGGCTGAATGAAAATGCCTTGTGGAAAGACTTTCCCCCCACCCTCATCCTGGACTGAGCTCTCCTAGGAGGCTGACACTGTGCTGGGTGTACTGCTAGGTCTACAGGCACAAGGCTGCACTACTTTCTAATTCTGCTGTAGGAGCTGGGTGTTGCATCTTCTTGTCCCTCAGATTCTCCAGTATAGGGAGATTGATTAGTGAGCTTCTATAGTTTCTTGTATGTGCAGGTGCGTGCGTGCATGTGTAGGCCAGAAGACAACCTTGGGTACTATTCCTCAGATTCTTAGATGTCATACACTTTTTTTTCTTAAGGGTCTCTCACTGGCCTGGAACTCACCAACTAGGCTAGGCTAGCTGGTCAACAAGTCCCAAGGATCCACCTGTCTCTGCCACTCCAGTGTTGAGATTACAAAAATATGTCACCACACCTGGATTTTCCTTTTTAAAAAATTTAAACAAAGGTTCTGGGGATCAAATTTAGATCCCTGTACTTTACCGGCTACGCTTCTCCCCAGTCCTGGTTCCTTTCAATATAATTATTAATCAAAATCTACCACTGTTCAAACAGTTCCTCTGCTAAGACCTGACCAGGCAGCTGGCACCATTACTGAGAAGTGAGGACACTCTTCTGGCCATGGGACACAGCTTAACAGGGAAAGGGGTGCCTCATCTGTTTCCTTGAACAGCCTCGATGGTCCAGTTTATGCATCAAAGAAGGGAAAAGCAAAAACCATTGCCTACCTGTTGAGGAAAGGCAGGGCCAGGCCTCATGGGCTGCTGGTCAAAGCCCACATCTGGGAAGAAACTGGTCAGAGACGAGCCCTTTAGGAATAAGGAGGTAACTATTTAGTTGGAACACAGAGTAAAATAAACATTCCCACCTCACCATGTCCCAGAGGGACTTACCTGGGCAGTGGGGAGCTGGAAGTCAGAGGAGGCTGCCTGAGGCTGCTGAGCAGGGGATTCCTGAGCATGGGGCTGCTGCAAGAGTGGCTGGGACAGCTCCTGGGGTGCAGGGTAAGGGGGTGGTGGGGATACTTGGGTTTGAGCTTCTGTGGGCAGGAAGGAAAGAGGGCTTCGCTCTGAGGACACCATCTGTGAAATAAACCAAGCCACTTATTAGCTTCTAATCTTCTAGTAGTAAGGCCTTTAGGGTTAGGACAAGTCATGGTAAGAGGAAAACCCGAGCTTTTCCTCACCACAGAATCTGGCCATGCTGTGAAAGGCCTGTTTCTACTCCTTCAAACTTCCCCTTCCCCTGCAAGTATTTCCCATCAGTGACACTTCTATTGTCTGGGCAAACAAGAATATAGCCAGTATCCTCTGTTTTCTAGGTTCAAATTGTGTCTTGTTTTGTTTTTAAAGCCATGACTTCTGGTGAGAGCTGGAGACTGAAGTGCACTGACACACATGCAGGTAAAACACTCATACACTAAAAATAAAAAAAAAAATTTTTTAAATAAGAATAAACAATAAAATGAGACCAAAAGTGGAAAGTTCAAGAGAAGAGTTGGAAAATAAAAGTTAAAAACTCTTTTAGAAAGAAAATGCAGGGCTGGTGAGGTAGCTCGGCAGGTAAAGGTGTCTACCACCTTGCCTGATGAACTGAGGATGTTTCCCCTGATCCACATGGCAGAAGGAGAGAACCAACTCCCAAAAGTTGTTCTCTAATCTCCATATGTGTGCCATGGCCCACATGAAAAATAAAAATTCAAAAAAAAATGAATAAATGAGTAAGATGTTGAGAGAAGAAAATAAGGACACTAGAGAAAACTTCATGGTGTCCAACATTCCTACAATAGGAATTCCAGAGAAAACTGAGTGGTAATGTCATGGAGGAAATAATTAAAATTCCCAGAAATGATAGACATGTTTCCAGACTCAAGAAACCTACCAAACATGCACATTCATGCCACCAAGCCATATTATCTTGAAGTTTCACAATATTGGAAACATAAAGAAAAATCCTATAAGACCCCAGAAGAATAAATGAGATTTCATTCAAAGTATTAGGTCAAAGAATGGAATAGGTAGATCAATATGTCCAAAATCCCAGGGCAAAACATTTCAATTTAGAATCCTATAGCCAGCCAAATTATTAACTAAATGGCAGGCAGAATAAAGATAATTTACAGCTATGGAAAGGCACCTGCAATATTCTTATAAGTTTATAGAGGATATTTATTTATTTATTTATTTATTTATTTATTTATTTATATTCTTTTATTTTTAGTCTTTTTGAGACAGGGTCTTCCTGTAGCCCTAGTTGGCCTGGAACTCACTATGTAGACCAAGCTGGCCTTGAACTCACAGACATCTGCCTGCCTCTGCCTCCCGAGTGCTGGGATTAAGGGCATGCGCCACCACACCTGGCTGAGGATTTGTTTTTAAATGTGTTAAGAGGAGATCTACCCAATACCAAGAGTTTAGGACTGAATTAACAGTGCACACAGAAAACCAGAAAGACATCAGCAACAAAAAAAGTATATTAACTCCTGGGAGGAAAAAATATACTCACTTTGTTATTTTATAATATACTACATGATTCAACTCTGACTACATTATTATAAACTACAGAAACACAAACATCAAGTTATTATTCTAACCAAAATTATAGTAAGTGAGGAGTGAATAGGGTGTATGTGTGTGTCTGCGTGCGTGCACGTGCACGCATATGCGCGTAAGGGGTTGTGGAAGTACTGAAAGAAAACTAAATCTTAATCTTGAATAGTAGGATGTCATTACCATAACACTTATTGCCAAAAATCTAAAACAAAATAAGCATGAAATAGCATGTTTATATCAAAGAGATTGGCTAAAATAGTTGAAAACAGCCAACGCAAGGCAGTTGAAAAATATGGTTAATGGGTTAGAGGAGACAATGGGTTAGAGGGTTATTTCACAATAAGCCCTTCAGAACTATTTGTCTTTTAAAATTATGTGCATTAGTAACACTGATTTTTAAAAATCTAAACATTAAAATATTTGAGAGAGAATGCGCTCTATTCTTACGTTTCCTCAAAATATAGCTAGAAAGACTACTTCCACAGCCTATAAAATAATCTCAAAAAAACTAAAGGCAATTCAATAACATTAACAAAATTATGAAATATCCTCTCTCCTTCTCCCCTCAGGAATTACTCATATTGTCAAGATTCCACAGCCAGTAACTGGTAATGAGTGACTAAGAACGAGATCATCTAACTTCTTCCCTTGTGTTCTACCAACTCCTCCTATCTAAACCATTACTCATTTACATGAAGCAGTGAGTAGTTAATGATGCTATAATGTGTCTAGCGTGTGGCCAATATGTCAAAAATATATTTATCAGTGATCAGAGAGAGAAGAACCACCCTATGAGCTTAGAATAAAAACAAAGTCAGAAAGTCAAATGTGGCATTTCAACTCCTGTACTTCTACAATGGGCTTGTGACCTTATAGGTGCCCTTTCTAAACAAACTTCTTTTGGTCCTTTTAGAGAATTATCATCCTCATTATTCTAGTATTCTATGAACAATCAAAGTGTTGTTTCTCAAGTCTATAGTGATAATGAAGATCAAGGTCCAATCCACACAATTTGGACAATGCCATACATTTTCTTTGGCTTTCCCCTGTGATTTACTATAGTTATTGAGTCAACAATTGGTTTCTGTATAGATTTTGACATTTTAACCTTGTTTCCCCTAACTGCCTTGCATTCTCTATATCCCACCCACCCTTTCCCCCAGCTTTGACCTCATGAGTTAACAACTGCAAATTGTTTAATACTTGCTCAAGAGCAATAAACATCACAAACTTCTTAGAAAATCATTAATGTATTGTGACTTTCACACACCTCTGTTCTCATTTCAGGACTAAGACAGAAGTGAGTACAGCTCACTTTGCAATCTCAAGGATGCCACGGTGTAATAATAATGGACCTAGCCCCAAATGGACCAGAGAAGCAAAGAACATCTAGCCTGTTGAATTCAGGTGGTCTGAATATCTTTTCTCACCTGGGAGGCAGGATACGGGTTCAGAGGGCTGGTTGACGACAGCTGTCTGCTGAAAGCTTGATGTGCTTCAGGGCCAGAGGAGAGCGTGAGAGGACTAACTGGAGGCTGCCTGCGCCGTGAGGGGCAGCTCAGGTTTGTGGTGGAAAGAGATGGGTTGCTAAGGGAGAAGAGACGGAGCGAGGGGTGAAGAGCAGATGCGCTGGCCATAGACGTCTGTGGGTGGTTATTGAGGGATGAGGACAGTGCAATCTTACTGAGTGTGGCTTGGATGGAGGGGTTACTTCGAGAACTCTGGAGACCTGCAAGAAAACACATTCTTAAGTTCATTACATTTCAGACCAAAGCTTTTGTTTTCTAAAGAGCACAGCAAACTTCCTAGTGCCTGTAAGTGATGATGACCCTATATGAAGAAGTTTCTGGGCAGTTCTACTGGAAGTGTCTCGGATGTATCAATGACAGGAACTGAAATGCACACTTGAGAAAGATGCAGCCAAGCATCCAGGCCAGCAAGAAGACAATTACTGTGTCTAAAGAGGAATGCGATTATGAAAACCACCCCTGGGGGAGCCAGACCAGGTAAGTAGTGGTGGTGAGTCAGATCCAACTAAGGGAAAAAAGTCTTGAGCTGTAAAATAGATTGTTTAGAGCCCCTAAGTGTATCTGTCCCAAACACACTGCCTGGATCCTTAACAAGAGTTGTGGCTCTCAGGAAGTCTAAATATCCTGAGCTCCCACCTCAAAGTGCCTTGCTGTTTGATTTGGGGTTCTCTGCAAATTGTTTATTAACAGTGTAGCCCAGCTCAGGGAAAAGAAAGCTTCTGCTAATCTCTTGTTTCTTTGAGGTGTGTGTGTGTGTGTGTGTGTGTGTGTGTGTGTGTGTGTGTGTGTGTCTTAGTGTGAGCAAGACAGTTTGGGAAAGGAATTTCCATGGCACAGGATCCAAACAGCTGGAGAACCTGACCTGTACCCTGCTGGATCCTTGGTGCTTGGCTCAAGTCCAGACACAGCATTGCCACTCCACGAACAATACTGCTGCTACTACTGCGTATATATCAGCAGGCTGTGTCATGTTTTAAAGTTCAGCCCATCATTCTTGTGATGGAAATTGGGAAGCAGAAATGTGTGTCTGTTTTATGTTGATAAAAAGTTGTTTGTGCAGGTCAGGATATATTCTCAGTGATAGAGCACTTACCTGAGGCCCTAGACTCGGTCTCCAGTACCACAAGCAAAACAAAACAAAAAACCAAAAAATTTAAAAAACCTTTACAAACCTTTAGAGGCAGAAGGATCAGGAGTTCAGGGAGTTGGAGGTTAGCCAGGCTAGACATGAAACTCTGTCTCAAAAAGAACAGGACCACCAGGGTAGTCCAAGACTCCCAAAACTACACAGGCTATTACCACAGTCCTTGATTGCCTCCCAGAACTTGACTGTAAGACCCTACTGCTGAAGACAGGACATACTTTGGACACAGGATTTCGAGCAATGGAGCTGGAACTGATCTGGAAGCCACCTCCCTGAAGGCTAGCTCTCATAGCCTTGGAGAGCACTATGAAAGTTGCTAAGGGAGAACATCAATCGATGGTCTAACCCTAGCTTCAAGGCCTAAAAACCACATCAATGACCAGCACAGCAAACAACATTGGTGCAGTAGTGGCACTTTTATCTTGGGGGTAATCAACAGCTACCTAATTGGACTTAAAGCCCACTCAAGGGGAGGAAATTCATATGTGGTACTGTAAACCTAGACAACTACACATAGCTGGAGTGATCATAGATCTTAGAGAAAACCCAAGGCTCTCATATCCCTAGACAAATGTCATTTCTTACTATGTGCAAAATATGGATTCTTAAACTTACAGACAAGTATCCTAGTCACCACCCATTAAAGTAGCTTCTTTTTCAACAGACAGAGATTATTACAGTGTTACATCCACTGGTCACACACAGAGATTGTCTGTGAATTGTCCAAGCCTAAGTGGCACATTTAGGATGCAACCTCCACACCTAAGACTCATGGAACATAAAACAAGGGATGAAGAGAACACTAACGCATCTTTCAATTCCCATCAATGAAGCTCCCTCATCAACAGAGGCCTTAACTCAAATGACAGAATGTATGAACTCCAGTAGGGAGGCTATGGGGAAGGTGCCAAAGGGAAAGAGAAAGGGGAAGGGGGTGTAAAGATTTTCTGTATGAAATACACAAAAATTCAATAAAAAAAATAATAAAAGAACAGGGCCGGCCAGATGGCTCAGTAGGTAAAGGCACTTGCTGCTGTACTTAAGTGTCCTCTGACCGCCATACATGTTGTGACATGTATACACATAATAAATTAATAGAAAGAAAAACATGTTTGATAAAATTATGGAAATGGAAAATTAAAAAATCAGCCATTTTAGTTGACAAATTATTGCTTTTAATTAATTATTATTTATTGAGGCAGGATCTCCCTATAACCCCAGTTGACCTGGAACTCGGTATGTAGGCTAGGCTACCCTTGATCTCACAGAGATCCACTTGCCTCTGCCTCCTGAGTGCTAGGATTAAGGGTGTGTGCCACCAGCCCAGTTTTATTAGTTTTTGAGACAGAGTATCATATAGCCCAGCTTCAGTTAGAAGCAGCCTAGGCCTGCTGTGACCTGTATTTGTAGCAAAGGATAACCTTGAACTCCTGATCCTCCTCCATCTCATAAATGTTGGGACTATAGGTATATATCACCAAACTGGCAAAATTAAAAAAAATTTTTTATTTGGTATGTATGATGTGTATGTGATGCATGTATGGGCATATATGCCACAGCACACGTGTGGGGATCAGAGGACAACTTTTTGGAGTTAGTTCTCTTTATCCACCTTTATGTGGGTTCCAGGGATTAAACTCAGGCTGTCAGGCTTGGCAAGCAAGTGCTTTTACCCATTGACCCAACTCATCAGCCTATAAAAAAAATTTTTTTAAGGTAGAAATGATGTCTGTGATAGAATCCTGATAGCTATCCCACCACTCAACAATCCATGAAAAGTTAAGAGATTCAGGTAGCTCAAATAATGAGTTAAAAATGTGAATTTAGATAAAAAGAAGTCTTGTTCAGGAAGAATGCTCAAGCATCTTTCAAAAACATGTGTTCAGGCTTTTTTCTTTTTAACTGTAGCTCGGGATGCTCTAGAATTTGTTTCTCCTGTCTCAGCTTTCTAAGTGCTGGGATTACAGACATGTACCACCATACCTGGTACACCATATATTTTAAGGTGTGCATAGAAACTATAAAGCTATACAGTAGATCTGTGGTGTTCTGTATAAAATCATGCTGTTCTGAGGAAGGTAACAGTCAATGATTAAACAAAGTTTTCAGTTAGAAACAAGTGTCAAAACCTAGACATGCCAGCTTCCTTACTACCCAAGGGAGCGATGAGGGATGCTGCTTTGTTTCAGTGACCCTAGGCATCATCCATGAGAATTCACCTAAAAGGGGAATTGCCTAGGCTATGAATCTAGACATCTCAAAGGGTTTTAAGAGTTTCTGTTATGAAACTATGAGCTCAGAGACTGGTGTTTTCTTTTTTCTTGAGACAGGTTTTTCCCTGTAGCCCCTGCTGTCCTGGAACTCGCTATGTAGACCAGGCTGGCTTTGAACTCACAGAGATCCCCCTGCCTAGGTGTGCCACCATGCCCGTTGCAGTCCTTTCTCTTAGCTGCTGAGCCATCCCTTCAGCTCCCAAATGGTGCTTTCTTTAGCATCCTAGGCCCCACACAGCATTCTCTGAAACATCCTGCATCCAAAACAGTGTCACGTGACTTCACCTCACACTTTTCAGAATTTGCTCAGGCATGACTAGAATTCTAAAACTCAAAACTCAGACTCAGGCTAGGCGTGGTGGCATACGCCTTTAATCCCAGCACTCAAGAGGCAAAGGGAGGTGGATCCCTGTGAGTTCAAGGTCAGCCTGGTCCACATAGTGAGTTCCAGGCCAGCTGGGGCTACAGGGAGACCCTGTCTCAAAAAGACCAAAAAAACAAAACAAAATAAAACAAGACAAAAAACTCAGACTCAGGAGATAGAAGACTGTTTATTATTAAAGATAATAAAAATGGGCTGGAGATGGTGGTGCACACATTTAATCTCAGCACTCAGAAGGCAGAGGCAGGCAGATTTCTATGAGATTGAGGTCAGCCTGGTCTACATAGGAAGTTCTGGGGTAGCTGGGACTATACAGAGACCTTGTCTCAAAAAGAAAAAGATGCCTCCCTCCCCCAGTAAAAAAAATCCCTAAAATAAAAATAAATGTGGTCTCTAAAACCAGTTCTTCAAAATTAAAATCACACTGCCCAGCAGCAGCATCCCTCTATCACTGAGAACCTAGGAAGTGACTCTACAGAAGATCACACCCATGTGGGGGGCAGGTTCTGCTTTGCCTGTTGAGTCTCACTGAACCCAGAGAGGAAGCCAGAACCATTTCCTCCATCTATATCACTGAGGATGTCTTCCAGATGGAACATACCGCCACAGGCTTCCTAGCAGTGCTGCTCCGGCTTGGGGTATACTATACCACTGGCTGACAAGAGCACTGTCAGGTTCAACATGAAGTCATGTTTCAGCACAGGGTCTGGACTGTGGGCAATCATACCAGTATGTCACATCAAGTCTCATTACAAGTTAACACTTGAATATAGCCAATACCACATCCTTAAGTGCTTCTGAAAACTCAATAATTTTGAGCTGTAAATTTTCTAAAATTTAAAGTATATCTTTTTGAAATCCAAAGGGAAATTTGGGAGACCTAGGAAAATGAATTCAATAATAAATACCATTGTACATTGATAAGAGTTGCTGACATCGCTCAGTCTGCATAGAATGGCACTTATTTCTTGACTCCCAAATATTCTTCCCCACATTTTCGGTGATGGCAATGCAGGATGGGGTTCAGCAGAGCTGCTCCAGTGCTTATCAAACAGAGCAGAAATAGAACCCCCAGAGCAAATGTCAGCAGACACAGGAGGTATACTAGTATCTGTAGAGGAGATGCAATTGTTCTCATTCACTGATGCACCAGACAGCCACTAGGGGACACAGCCAAGGCCCTTTTAAACAGGAGTACTTACCAGAGAAGCTTCTTATGCCCAGGTGAGTCATAGCAGCTGGGAGGTTGCCCACACTATTCCCCACACTCATACTACCAAAGAGGTGGTCACTGGTGTCCAGGGAGGCAGGCAGGGGCACTGAGTAGTGGAGGTTGGTTAGATCTGGTAATGACCCTCCAGTGTTCAGGGTCCCCAGAAAGGGCGAGAGGCCCATGTTTTGGCCATTATGTGGGAAAGCACTGAAAGAAAAGAAATATAGCTATTACTTTCTACAGTGAATTTGGCTATTGGGAAATGGGACATGCATGATACCTTTTCCTTTTCAACGATCAAAGTCCCAGTGTAGGCTCTGCCTCATCTTATTCTGAGAATCTGGACTATTGGCTTACCTTCTCTGAAATACAATTTCCTTACTTACTAAACTAGATGGATAGTATCACCCATGCTTACTTAACAGGAATAGTTTCTAGATCAGACTAGATTGTGAATGCAAAAGTACTTTGCAAATTACGAGCCACTATATAAAATGTTAGATATGGCTTTATAGAGTTCTTTTTGTTAGATTTCTAAATATCTTTTCTAAATACTAAAGAAAATATCACTGGGCAAACATTGTTTTGACTAAGTTTTCATAAACTTAATATAAAAATTTTCATTTTTTAAAGATTTATTTTATTTTTACTTATGTGTATGTGTGTGCACGCATAAGTATGGGGGTGCCCAAAGAGGCCAAAAGAACTGGAGCTCCATGCAGTTGTGAGCTGCCATGTGGGTGGTGGGAACCAAAACTGGGTCATTTGCGAGAGTAGTCAGTGCTCCTAACCACTGAGCCATTTCTCCAGTCTAGTTTTCATAAACTTTAGAGTGAGGAAAACATACTGTCATAAATTTATCAAAAATCTGTTGATTGGGTCAGGCATGGTGGTCCATGCCTTTAATTTCTGTGAGATCAATACCAGCCTGGTCTATATAGCGAGTTCCAGGTCATCTGAGGCTACAAGGAGAAACTATTTCAAAGAAAACAAAAAAAAATCCCAAAAATCTGTTGCTCGATCACTGTGTGCCAGGTACTAGATTAAGCCCAGAAAGTGGAAGGATGAACAAACAAGGTGTATATTCACAGTTGGGCCTGCCCCTTACATTTGTAGGCCTGGGGCAATGATGGAAATGGAGGCCAACATCTGTTTTAATCAGTTTCTCTCTACAAGAAGGAGACTACAAAGTCTCCTTGCACTCCCCAGGGTTTTGCACTTACTGTTCCCTCTGCCTGGATCTCTTGTTCCTTCACTTCCAGCTGGATTCTGTCACTAACACCCTATAGAAAGGCCTTCTCAACATCTATCACTGTCCATTTCCTTATTTTGCTTCCTTTTTCTTTAATTCATTTATCAAGCATTCTGTCAACTTGTTCGTTTTTTCCCCTATCATGCTCTACACTAGGAATGTTGGCTCCCTGCCAGTAGAGGCTTGATCTGTTTTGTTCATTGTTGTTCCTAATGCCCCAAATTAGGGGGTTAATACATATGTACATGAGTGGGAGCCAGTGATGGAATATGTTATGCTATACCTCCTTCTGGCTGCAAGTTTAACAATCTCCCACAATCTCTGTTGCCCCTTTATTTTCCCTTAGTCCCATCTTCCTCACACACTTCCTTTTAGATGTTTGTACCAAATGTATTTTATACACCATCTTAAATCTTTTAGGGAATAAAACTGTATGCTATAAAATTTATTAATTAATGAATGGTCTCGTGTGCACTTATTTATTTATTTATTTATTTATTTATTTATTTAATTTATTTTGTGTTTTTGAGATTGTAGCCCTAGCTTTCCTGGAACTCACTATGTAGACCAGGCTGGCCTCAAACTCATAAAGATCTACCTGCCTCTGCCTCCCAAGTGCTGGGATTAAAGGTGTGCACCACCATGCCCAGCAGAGACTCATTTTAAATAGCAAATCTTCCTATTCATCTATTTTTTAAAAATATAGTAAAATATACACGCCATGAAATTTACTGTTTTAACTACTTTTGCATGCAGAGTTCAGAGGTATTAAGTACATTCACAAAAGCTTTTAGAATAAACTTCTATGTATTGATGCTTTCTTTTTCCTGTCAACTGATGCCACAGGCTCCGGCTGACCCCTGTACACTTATGCTCCTTCTAGGAGAGTTCTCTGTGTGCTCAAAGTCAGCTGAGCTTTTCTCCAACATCTTTATGTGGTTTTATTTGCTTTGGGTTAGTTATATGATTCAATTGCCTCAGATACATGAAATAAGAATACCAAGAGAGAGCAGCTGTTTTATGCAAATGCACGCAGATGACTGAATTTATATCTAGCAAGTTGTATTCTCAGAGTTCTGTGACAAAGCAAAGAAGAATCTCCTCTCAGGAAAACATTCAGCAGAAGGAACATTACTTACTTGCTGCCTCCAACGTCACAGGATCGAGGGCGCCCTGACAGAGACTGGATCTGGGAAGAGACAAAGAAAATTGGGCTTACTCACAGTACAGCCAAATGCAAATGTTTGAAAAGCAAGGATCTGGGAGCACCAGTCAGCAGGTGACAGATAGCATGCATCAATGGTATCCTCACAGAGCAGCTATTCAAATTTTGAGGAGTTTAAAATATTTTCAGGTATAACATTAATGTATTTTATTAATTTATCTTCTAGATCAATGCTATTTTATTTAAAAATGCCAGTATTTTGCATATTGAGATTTTTTTTTAAAGAAACATTCTTTTTTTTTTCAATTGGCCAGAGAGAAAAATAAGGAAATCAAAAAGCAAAACAGGGCATAAATGTTAAAGAAAACTAATATCTAACTAGAATATAAATTGGTTGGGGGCAGGAATGGGAACTATAGATCCATAGAGAGCAGTTTCTGGTACTCAGGGGGAGTGTGTGCCCACACCCCCACTGCTGGAGAAGACACTGCTGTCTTCTGAAAAATGCCTCCAAAGTCACCTCTGCCTTTCACAGCCAAGGGGATAGTAGGCTATTTCTCTTATGTTTAAATATATAAGTTTTGCATCTTAGTTTTTTTTAGCCCCCAAATATTAAACATCAATTACATATCTTGCTTTTATTTAAAAAAAAAAAAAAAAGGCATTGGGCGTGGTGGCACATGCCTTTAATCCCAGCACTTGGGAGGCAGAGGCAGGCAGATCTTTGTGAGTTCGAGGCCAGCCTGGTCTACATAGTGAGTTCTAGGACAACTGGGGCTACAAGGAGACCCTGTCTCAAAAAGACCGAAAAAAAAAAAAGCAACAACACTTCAACACTTTAAGACTACCCTAATGCTAGCTAGTAGAAGCTGGACAAAAGGGATCCAAACAGGTGAGGGCAGTTAAGCACAGAGACCACACAACCAACTGCAACTGGGCACCATTAAGAGCTGGACTGGTGGACTTTTCTCTGAAGACAGATCGTCCACAGGGAGGGAAGCCAAGTGAAGTGCCATGGGGCTCCCTTTTGTCCAAAATGGGTGTGAGGTTTACAGAGCAAGGTGGAGGTGAGCATGATTTTAGATACTAATACTCAAAGGCTCATAGAAATTATAAAGATGACTTATTTACTTACTCTTAAAGAGAGTGGGTCAAAGGCCTCTGATTTCAAAAAGGATTATCTGACACAACAGTAACTCTTAACAGAAGCTGGAGAGTGGCTCTAAGACAGTCTTGTACCCAGGTTTCAGAGCTTCGGATGGTATGAATAAAATATGGTAGCTTAATGGGTTTTCTTTTGTGAATGAGTAAATCCATGTGAAAATAAGAACATCAACAGACCACTATGCTAATAATTCATAAATACAATTATGGTAATTTTGCTTGGACTACCATTCCTTAGTGTATCTCCCTCCCTCCCTCCCTCCCTCCCTCCGTCCTTCCCTCCCTCCTTTCTTTTTTTTGAGACAGATCTCCCTGTAGCCCCAGCTGGCCTTGAATTCACAGAGATCCACCTGCCTCTGCCTCCCAAGTGTCCTTGGTATATCTTTCCAGTCTGTGTGTCCAAATCTTTTCTTCCCTTTCCTCCCAGTTCTTCTGTCTCCACTCTGTAGGATTTTGCAGGGGCCCAAACATCAGGGACAACAAACACAGCTAAGTACTGTTCACCCACCTCCTTGGTCTCCCATAGTTGTTTTGGCAGTGGCTTCGGAACATTTAACAGATTCTCTTCTTTCACTGGACCAGAGAAAGGTGCTACTAAAAGAGGGAAAAGGGAGAAGCACATTCATTGAGTTAGAAGGCAGCCACCTGATTTTTAGCCAAGTGAATTTTTATTTTATTTTATTTTTTTGAGAAAGATTCTTATTATGTATCCCTGGATGGTCTGGAACTTACTAAGTAGCTCAGGCTAGACTCAAACTTCCAGCTAGTCCCCCTGCCTCAGCCTCTAGTGTGGTAGAATTTCAGGCATGTGTCACTCTACCTAGCAAAAATGAATTGACAAATACTTACTGACCATCTAGTAGGAAGGTGCTTTGAGTATTATTGTAGCATTTGCAGAGATAAGTAAGAAATGGATTCAACCTTGCAAAAGCTCTAAAGTAGCCAGGGGATGAGAGCAATACCTACATGACTATCATTAAAATGATAAAGCAAGCCCAGGAGCATCACAGATACATTCCTGCTACAAGACAGAGGAGCAAGTAAACAGAGAGGCTCTGGAACTGGTTACTCTGGGCTCCGTTTACAGGCATTGGAAAGGGCATTCAAGCAAGAGAGGTAAAAATAAGCAAAAGGCCTCAGAGAGAGAAAAAATGGTGGGCAACCATCGACTAGATCAACTCTTCACTTGGAGCGTACTGGGTAAAAGAAAGTGGTTGAAAATAAGATGTGATGGGCCAAGACCAGGTCAGGGACCTGCAGGCTTGGAAAATGGGCTAGATAAGGCAAGACACACAATAACCTAGAAAAGTTGAAATGAGGAAAGTAGCAAATGGAGAAGAGGTAGCCTGGGGAGAAGGCTCAGAGGATAGAGCACTTGCTTGCAAGCATGAGAACCAGAGTCTGGATCCTCGGAACCCATGTAAAGCTGGGAGGGCATGGGGTGCAAGACAGGATCCCTGGCTCAAGCTCTGGGGATCAGCAGTACTCCTTGCCTCAATAAGTAAGGTGGAGAGTGATTGGGGAAGACATTTGATGTCAATTTTGGGCTTCCAGAAGAATGAACACATGTGTCCACATACATGTGAACATACATACATACCATACACACAAAATAAATAAAATTTTAAAATGGAGAAGAGGAATAGCATATGGAAATCGCAGTGGTAGTGAAGCTACTTGGTAACATGGTGGGTTGGGAATAAAGACTCGAGGCTGAGAAGCTAATGAGAGCTCTAGCGGTTCTCTAATGCTATTAAAAAAACTTGGCTTTGCATGAAGAGACTGTTCAATGGCTTTCAGCTTTAACATTCTCAGCCATACCAGTGAAAACAAGGAAGCTGAGCCATAAAACAAGTGAAGGCTTTTTGTTCTCAGACACAAATCAGAGGTGAAAGGCAGGTTTTGAGGAATTGTATGATCTCATGTCAGGAAGAATATTCAACACCAGACCCTGGAGACTGCTTGTAACTAGGAATGCTCCTAGGTTGTGGTGACTGCGTAGCTCCAATGTGACTGTCTTAACTGTCCTGTCCTTGTCCCACAGGATGGATAACAGATCCCAGGAAGTTACTTAAAACTGAGATCGAAGCCAGACATGTTAGGACATCCCTGCAATCCTAGCACATGGGAGGTAGAAGCAAGAGGATCAGAAGTTCAAGGCCAGTCAGGGCTACAAAGATACATACCTCAAAGAATAGACAAAAGAGAAAGGGAGCAAAGTCTCAGGATGAATTCTGAGATAAAAACTCTAAAGTAAGTTTCTTTTATTTTCAAGTTAATAAAATTTAGGATATAATTACAATTCTGACAGCACTACTGAACATAATGCAATGCTCTTCACAGCTAACTTCCCAGCACTATGGTAACCAATGTCATCTCTGCTGAGATAGTCGAGGCTTTTCAGTGTTCCTAAGTGTCTCTCAATCCTGATATTCAAATGACTCATTCTTTCTCTCTTTTTCTTCTTTCTCTTTCTTTTTTCCCTTCTTTGTGTGTGCATGTGTGTGTTTACTGCTGGGGACAAAACCTATGATCTCCCAAAATAATACATTCCATCACTGAGCTATATCCCCTGTCCAGGTTTTTCTTTGGAAGAGCTTATTTTGTCCATGTTCTTGTTGATTTTCTTTTCCTAATGACTGGTATAAGTTCTGCAGAAATGATAGCTTTGTGAGGGCTCCATGACTCTGCTTTACTTGTTGTTGGGTGATGCCGAACAAACACAAGTGCCTGAGACATGCTGTGCTGGATAGCTTTAGTGTCAACTTGACACACCTGGGTTGAGGGAGCCTCAATTGGGAAATTGCCTCTATTGGACTGGCCTGTGGCCAAGTCTGTGGGGCATTTTCTTGATTGTTGAGTGATGTGGGGGAGCCCAGCCCACTGTGGGCAGTGCCACCCCTAGGCAGGTGGTCCTGGGTTGTAGAACAAAGCGGGCT